ACAACAGTATACACGACAACACCCCGACGTCGCCCCCGATCCCCAAAAAGCCTTGGGATTGAAGAAGAACCCGCCACTGGCAGTGTATGCGGCAGGGAGAGAACGAAAAAACAAATAGTTTTTTTTTCTGCTATGTCTGAATAGTTGTCTGACTGGAAGAGAACGATAAAAAATAATAGTTTTCCAGCCCGCGGCCGGATTTTTCTAATCGTCATCGCGGGCGCCGCCGCGTGAACACGACCCCTGGTAATTTATTAATCGTCATCCTCCATTATATGTTCCAGTTTGCGATCTGCCTTCGGAGAAGGCTCAGAGCTGCTCAGAGGGCCCGGGGCCTGCCGAGCCTTCTCAGAGGGCCCGCCCCCTCCTGTGCTCCACCCTGGGCTTGCCGCCGCGCCGCGCGCCAGGAAGGGGTGGGGGGAGCGCAGATCCAAGAAGCCCCGCGCGGGCTTCCGAAACGGTGTCTGTTTATGGTATGGCTTGATCCTGGAGGGGGGAGGCAGAAAAAGGGCGAGCTTCCTCCTCTGCGTCCTCCTGCGTCCTCCTGCTCCTCCTCCTCCTCCTCCTCCTCCTCTTCCTCCTCCTCCTCCTTATCATCATGATCATCAGCATCATCATCATCATTACCACCACCACCACCACCACCACCACCACCACCACCACCACCATCATCATCATCATCATCATCATCATCATCATCATCATCATCATCATCATCATCATCATCATCATCATCATCATCATCATCATCATCATCATCATCATCATCATCATCATCATCATCATCATCATCATCATCATCATCATCATCATCATCATCATCATCATCATCATCATCATCATCATCAGCAGCAGCAGCAGCATCATCATCATCATCATCATCATGATCATGATCATGATCATGATCATGATCATGATCATGATCATGATCATCATCATCATCATCACCACCACCATCACCATCACCATCACCATCACCATCACCATCACCATCACCATCACCATCACCATCACCATCACCATCACCATCACCATCATCATCATCATCATCATCATCATCATCATCATCATCATCATCATCATCTGATGTCATGGTTTGATCTTCGAGGGGGGGGTCAGAGACAGGCCATCTGTGTACAGTCCGGGCGGCTGCAACTGGGGCGGAAGTGACATTCATTGGTTGGTTGGGGTGGTGGTGGGGAGCTGCTGTTGTTGTCGTGCACGGCGCCAGGAGCGTCGGCGGCGTGCACGTTCCGTAATCGACAGGCTCCAAAACCGCTTTCAAGGAGAAAAGGTGGTGAGCTGCGGGTTCCCTAATCATCCAACGGCCCGGCCATCAGAAAAAAAGCTGTTGATCCCTTCACCTCCCCTGGGATTCCCGGGCGGATATCGGGGGCGTCCAAGAGGAGGGCTTCCACGAGGGGGGGGCGCAAATCACGGCCAGCGGCATGTGCGCGGTCAAGGGGGGAGGGGGCCGGGGAGGTACTCGCCATGAAATCTGGGGACACGCCATGATCTCAACCCCCACCTTAGCCACCACCCCCTCTTGGCCGCCCCCGAGGATAGCCGAGGATGGAGCACTGCGTGCGTCCACGGGCGCCTCGTGTCCTGGCTGTTTTCTCGTGCGCTCCCCAGGGCTGCCGTGAGATCGCCCCTGGGGCTGTGGCTTCTTGCGGCCTGCTGCTCTCCGGGGGGCGCCGTGGTCGTCAGAGCTGACGCCACTCGACGATCACCGCTGCACTTCTAAGACGAATCCAGGACGAAGACACATTCGGGTAAGGATGAATCGAGAATCTCTCAAATCCGGCGGCTCTGGAGGATGTCTCGGGCGCCGTGACCTTCTCAGAGCGTTCCAAAACGCTCCGAGAGCGTTCTGGAACGCTCTGGAACGGATTTATCCTCGTCCTAGCTTGAGGTCGGGTATGTTCTCCGACAGGCGGATTCTGGAGGAACAGTGAAAATTATTCCGAACGTATTCAAACATATTCAAAACATAAAGGAACACCAGTTCCCATATTATTCCCCACATCCAAAGTGGGTATCTTGTCTTCTCTGCAAAACCCCCCGCACAGGAACAAGAGAACACACCCTCGTCTCCAATCGCAGACTCATTCACTCAATCACTCACACACATCATCACTCACACTCACTCACTCACTCACACACTCACTCACCCACACACACACACTCATTCACACACTCATCATCATTACTCACTCACGCACTCACCCACTCACTCACCCACCGATCCGCCAATTCACTCACATTGTCATCAGCATCATCATCATCATCATCATCACCATCATCACCATTATCATCATCATCAGTATCAGCATCGGCATCAGCATCAGCATCAGCATCAGCATCAGCATCATCATCATCATCATCATCATCATCATCATCATCATCATCATCATCATCTGCATCATCTGCATCATCATCTTCATTCACTCACTCACTCACTCATTCACCCACGCACTAACTCATCTCAGACAGCAGCCTCGTTTGTAAATGACTCGCGAGGATGTCTCAGGCGGGAGCCCCCTCCCCATGGGGCCCGCACTTCATGTTCGAATCCGAGGCGGGTCATCGGAATCCTGTAACTGTCATCCCTTTTAATTTTTTTCAAACTTGAATATGGCGGATGTCTCAGGCGAGAACCGTATAGGGACCGCGGCACATGTGAGTAATCCGAGCGGGTCATCGGGATCCTGTATATGTCGCCATTTCTGGGCCACTGAGGCATAAATACGGAAGAAATCTCAGGCGGGAGCCTCGTCTGTGAGTGGATTGCGATGAAGTCTCAAGCGGGAGCCCCCTCCCTGAAAGGCCCGCAACTCACGTGAGTAATCCGAGCGGGTCATAAGAATCCTGTAGCTGTCGTCACTGTCGGCTTTTTCGAACTTAAATATGGCGGAAGTCTCTGGCGGAAGCTTCGTCTGTGAGTGAACTGCTAGGACGTCTCAAGCGGGAGCTCCTTCCCTATGGGGCCCGCGGCTCATGTGAGTAATCCGATCGGGACATCGGAATCGTATGATTGTCGTCACTTCTGGCTTCTTCAAGCTTGAAAGTGGCGGAAGTCTCAGGCGGAAGCCTCGTCTGTGAATGATTGCGAAGAAGTCTCAGGCGGGATCCCCCTCCCTATGGGGTCCGTAACTCATGTGAATAATCCGAACGGGTCGTCGGAATCGCGTAACTGTCGTCACTGTTGGCTTCCTCAAGCTTAAATATGGCGGAAGTCTCCGGCGGGAGCCTCGTCTGTGAGTGAAGTGCGAGGAAATCGCAGGCTGGAGCTCCCTCCCTATGGGGCCCGCAACTCACGTGAGTAATGCGAGCGTGCCATCGGAATCCTGTAACTGCCGTCGGTCTGGGCTTCTTCAAGCTTGAGTAAGGCGGAAGTCTCGGAATCCTGTAACTGTCGTCGCTTCGGCCTCTCCAAGCTTGAATATGGCGGAGGTCTAAGGCGGGACCCTTGGCTGTGATTGACTTGCGAGGAAGTCTCAGGCAGAAGCCCTCTCGGGCCACTCCTCCCCATGGGGCTCGCACTTCGCGTTGGCAATCCGAAAGTTGTATGCCGAGCTGGTCGTCGGCAAACTTGTTACTGTCATGGGCCCGAGTGCCCGAAATTGGGACTTCCCTGGGGTCCGAAGTAGCCAAGGACACAAGGGCGACTGAGGAGCTGACGACGACGACGAGACGGCGGAACAGCTCGCGGCAGAGCTGGGCTTCGTGCTGCCTCTCGCATGAGCGCGGCTGCGCCCCGTTTGAAGCCCGCGGGGTTGCCCCAACGGCTTGGCTTCGCGCGCCAATGGCTCGCGGGGTGGCCCCCACGGCCTGGCCCGCGGGGTTGTCCCATCGGCTGCGCGATGTGGCCATTTGAGATTGCGCCCGTGCTGGCCGAGGCGGGGACGGCGCTGATGAAAACCGACGCGCACGCTCCTGCCAGGAGGAAGAAGAGGTGCACGAGGAGAACAGGCGGGGCGGAGATGAGGAGGGGAAAAAGGAGGGGAGGTGAAGGAGGAGGAATAACATGACGAAGAGGAGGAATAATACGAGGAGGATGGGGGAGGGAGAGGAAGAGGCGGAGGACGAGGAGGAAAAGGAGGAAAAAGAGAAAGCGGAAGAGGAAGAAGATAAGACATGCAACGAGTAGGACGAGAATGAACAGGAGGAGGAGGAGGAGGAGAAGGAGGGGGAGGAGGAGGAGGAGGAGGACGCAGAGGGCGGAAGGAAGGCCTCCGCCAGTCGAAGAAGAAAAGGGCGAGTGACAAGCTACATCGATTCTCATGTGGGGTCCCACCGTCGGAATGTTTTTTGGGTTACTCTTGGACATCCCTCCTGTAGAGGGACACGCCCGACTTAGTTAGCCCTGGCCCCGTCCTGCCTTCTCCAGGCCCAGGGCGGGGCCCAGCCCGTCCGTCGCCGAGGTTCGCCGTGGCCCGAACAGAAAAAGGCCCGTCGCTCCCTGCTCGACACCTCTCTTCCCTTGAGCTCGGGTCCCAGCCCGGAGGCCTAGGGCTGGGTCGGCCATGTCCTCCTACAGGCGGATGTTGGAGGAAACACAATAAAACAGTCGAAACGTTATCAGAAATGATCAAACATAGGAGAAAAATCGTCCCCAGACTATTGAACACATATTCTTGAATATTCCTCCTGTAGAGGGGCATTCCTCCTGCAGAAACGGCTCTGGACATGGAACCGGAACCGGAACCGGCAACAAAACGGCTCTCTGCGCCCGTCGGCCCTCTCGCGAGGAAGGCGCCCGCGACGACGACCACGACCACGACCACGACCACGACCACGACCACGACGACGACGACGACGACGACGACGACGACGACGACGACGACGACGACGACGACGACGACGACGACGACGACCACGCAGACGACGACCACGACCACGACCACGACCACGACCACGACGACGACGACGACGACGACGACGACGACGACGACGACGACGACGACGACGACGACGACGACGAGCCGGGTGGGCGCCTGCCGCCCGGGCACCGTCGCCTTCTTCTTGGGAGCCATCGCGCGCACGCGCCGCGCCCCGGTTCGAGCCGAGGCGCCCTGGCGCGGGAGCGACCTCAGGGGTAAGACGAAGCCAGGACGAGGATGAATTCGGGTGAGGATGAAGCGAGAACCTCTCAGATCCGGCGGCTCTGGAGGATGTCTCGGGCGCCGTGACCATCTCAGAGCGTTCCGAAACGCTCCTTCTCAGAGCGTTCTGGAACGCTCTGGAACGGACTTATCCTCGTCCGAGCCCGGTCCGGCGCAGGGAGCAACTCCCAGGCTCAGTCAGCCGCGGATCGGTGCAGTCAACCCGTGTAGTAGCGGACGCGCGTTAAGAATGCAAAGGGCCTTGGACGGCCATGCCGACACTCTGCGAGCGGGACGCGGCCGGCGAAAGCGGTCAAGGATGGGCCGAGGGGGAAGGATGCAAGGGCAAGCTTGGAAAATTGCTCATCCTTACCATGTGTGGCGACTGAAAATTGGATCGATTCCGGAAACCGCGTCGGATCAGGTCGCATCGGTACGGAGTCAGAATCGAGTCGAATCGGCTGCCCCAGGATGCACAGCAGCGCCATGCAGGCGTCGGGTCGCATCGGAACGTCGAACTATCGAAATCGAATCGGGCCGGCCGTAACCGACATCGAATGGGATCGATCGGATCGAACTAGACCCTCACTCCAGGACATACAGTCGGGGCGTTGACCTAAGGAACCCTAAATAAGGAACGAGGCCCTATCTTCCATAAGTTGAACTTCGATTTCGTATCGAAGACCTAAGGAAAATCCAAGGCAAGCTGCGAAACAATCAAGGAACACGGAGCCCCTCCCCAACGAAAAGGGTTCCTTCTTCAGGGCCCCGACTGTACTTCAGCAAAACACCCTGTAGTGACATCTGCCAGGGGCGCTCCACGTGCGCACGGCACCGCCTTCCGAGTGTGCCCCAAGGGGGTGCCACACCGACGTCCACCACAAACGAATGTATCCGGCGACGCGCACGTCGATTAGCGAATTCCCCTGGGTACTGCACTGGCACACTCGAATGCCAATATCGAGTCAACCAGTGCAGATTTCCTCCTGGGCGGCGCGTTTTCATGCTAATGGCTGACAAGCCAGATTAAGGGGCAATTGAACTGGACAACTGGACTAGGCCGCAGTGAGCCCGAGATCAGTCCAGATGAATCGGGATTGAGCCGCACCGAGCAGGGTCATGCCAGATTAGGCTGGTCTTAGACAACAGATCCCAGTGCCGATACCGAGCTAAACCTGCAAGGGGTTGCGTCCTGAGCAATCTGGGTCACCTAACTTCGCGCATCGCGCTCCGCAATGCGCGACTATCTTCGGGCCCTCGCGGGGCCACCTCGGAGAGGGGCAGCTCTCCGCGCGACGCGCGAGAGGCGCGATGACCTCCGCGCTCCTGGGTGGGGCCCAGAACAAAAAACCCACCGCAAACACCAGGCCTGCCGAAGCCCATGGCCCGCAGGCCACTGCCAGCACCGAAGCTGTTCGGGTTCAGATCTCTGCACGCGCCAGCAGGGGGGCAACGGGTCCCGAGGGAACCGGGTCCTGGACCCTGCGGGCCTTCCCCGGAGGAGGAGGAGGGGGAGGAGGAGGAGGAGGAGGAGGAGGAGGAGGAGGAGGAGGAGGAGGAGGAGGAGGAGGAGGAGGAGGAGGAGGAGGAGGGAGGAGGAGGAGGGACGGAGGAGGAGGAGGAGGAGGAGGAGGAGGAGGAGGAGGAGTGGAGCGACCTCTCTTCGCCCTGAGCCGCTTCCTGACAGTCCCCGGGGGCCGCGGAGCGCCCCCGCGGAGAGCCCGGGAGGGCTAAGAGCATCAGGACCCGTGTCCCGCATGACGGCTGGGCGCCCAGGAGTTCTGCACGCGACCCCCCAAGGTGTCCAGGCGGGGAAGACCCCCGTGGGCAGGGTGGGGAGGAGGAGGAGGAGGAGGAGGAGGAGGAGGAGGAGGAGGAGGAGAGGAGAGGAGGAGGAGGAGGAGGAGGAGGAGGAGGAGGAGGAGGAGGAGGGCGGAGGAGGAGGAGGAGGAGGAGGAGGGGGAGGAGGAGGAGGAGGAGGAGGAGGAGGAGGAGGAGGGAGGAGGAGGAGGGGGAGAGGGGAGGAGGAGGAGGAGGGGGAGGAGGAGGAGGAGGAGGAGGAGGGGGGGAGGAGGGAGGAGGAGGGAGGAGGAGGAGGAGGAGGAGGAGGAGGAGGAGGAGGAGGAGGAGGAGGAGGAGGAGGAGGAGGAGAGGACCAGCGGCGGAGCGGGCGACGCGCCCAACGCCTCCCACCCCCAGGCAACGTCGGGGCATCTGTGGGGGCCACCGAGAGATTTAGAGGCCTTCTGGATGGGGCCCGAAGGATGAGGACCCCATCCAGAAGGCCTCTAAATTTCCTCCTCCTCCCCTCCTCCTGTCCTTGTCCTCCTCCTCCTCCTCTTCCTCTCCTCCTCCCCCTCCTCCTCCACCTCCTCCTCCCCTTCCCCCTCCTCCTCCTCCCTCCTCCTCCTCCTCCTCCTCCTCCTCCTCCTCCTCCTCCTCCGCATCGCCAACGTAGCGCCGATGTATCGACGATGCATCGGCGACGTCGGCGATGCATCGGCGACCTCGGCGTGGGGAAACACGGGCTCCGCATCGGGCCGCATCGTCGATGCATCGATGGTGCGGCGTGATCTTCCGACCCCATCCACTCGGGCCCCGTCTGGGAGGTCTGGAAGGCTGCTGTCCCAATATCTCGGGTAGCGTTGGTTACCCTGGGGGTGGGGGGGGCCCCGGGTAGCGGTAACGCTTGGGCGGGATGTGGCACGTTGGAGCGGGGGTGCGCTTCGATCGCTGCAGTATGCGCGCGAACTCCAGCATGTGGGGGGGTGATCCCAGCGGTGGCTTGGCCGGGGCAGCGACCGCTACGCGCCAGAGGGTAGAACACCAATCTCCAAGGAGGCCTCGAAGAGGCCTCCAATGCGAAGGAGGAGAGGGGTAAGGACGCCGCGGACGAGGATTGGACGTTCTAAGGCCCTTCTGCGCTCTGCGTTATCATCCCCTCTTCTCTCGCATATCAACGCAGTTACAACTGCACTCTCTGCCATGACAAGATACTGCAAACATCTTCGGTTCCATGGCAATTTCTTCACTCCCTGCTTTTACATGCTGCTTCCCTCCGGTTGGCTTCGTACACCTCCTGCCTCGCGCTTCTCTTCCAGGGCCGGGTGGGTGGGAGCGAGCACCCCACTTGAACGAAGGATTGCAAAAAACCTAGGGTTTTTTGCAATCCTTCGTTTTTTTTGCAATCTTTCGTTTTTTTGCAATCCTCCCCTCGTTCGAGCACAGGAGGCTGCTGAACACGAGCGTTCTGCAGCGCCAGCTCGGGCAGGGGCACCGCACAGGGGCCTCGGGTGTCGGACCTCGGCCTCTCGTGCTCCTGCCGCTCCGCCTTGCGCCCGCGCGGCCTCCCAGACGCCGCTGGGCTGGAGTGGTGCTGGAGGACGGGAGGCTCCCACAAGAGACAGCATGCCAGCGGCAGCGCTGGCACGGCCTCTCGAGGCTGCGCGCGAATTCCCCTCGGAGCGGCACCGGGCTCCCCGTCCCGGCCAAAAAGGGGGGGTCCAGGGCCGACCGAAGACATCCGCGAGGACCTGCGAGAGTCTATGCTAATGACGTGGCCCCAGGACACACAAATGAATACACACAAATAAACAGATTCGTCATATTTTCTCATATTTTCAGGGTTTTTGTCTTCCCCCCCCACTTCCCATATTTTCCCATATTTGCCGGGGAATCGACGATTAATGGTGTCTGTGTGTTTTTTCCCCTCCTGAGCTAAGCCCTGATCTTTCCATCCCAACACGTCGCCGGAAGGTCCGAAGAGCACCTGCAGAGGGACGGGAGCCCGGGACCGCCCCCCGAGATCGTGTGGTGTCCGGCGGCCACTTCGCCCGAGACTTCCCCACAGGAAATTGTAAGTCGGGCGTGTCCCCCTACAGGGGGGATCTTGGGCGAGAAATCAAAAGTACCCCACAAATGCCCCCCCCAAAGAACAAAAATAAGCAAACACATCGTCTCCTGACCATTTTTTTGACTATGTAACTTCCCCCTGTACAGGGACAGGCCCGACTTGAAACTATCGAATCATGCTCCTGTATCGATGCCCGCTGCATTGTTGGTCTGGACGGCCATCCCCCTTGCAAGCGATACGCTACAGGGCAGTTTGTTTTTAATACATGGGATTCTAAGACATATAGGATGCTTCATACATGATTAAGTTATGGATAAATGTATGCACGAACTCATCGTTGTTTTTAGTACTAAATCCCTGCATGTTCAATACATGATCCGTACGCGGAGCATGTATTAAAACAGGCATTGTTCTAAACTGCACGTGGCCGTGCTCTCACCCCTGTCCCGAGTGGCTGACCTCCCTGCTCCTCGAACCGCCTCTTCGACCCTCCTGCTCTTGGGGTGCCTTCCCAGGGCAAACTCCTCGCCGAAGCCCGCCAGCACCCACCCCGACCCGCGCCTCCTGCCGACCCTTCTTTTTGTTTTTTTTGTTTGACTGCGGAGGTCCTCGTGAGAACGGTCCGCTGGCCCACCTTGACCTCGATGATCATCAACGATTGCCCCGACCCCCTCCCCCCCTCGCCAGGGCGGCAAATGTGCTCTCCTGGGCTCGCAGCAGGGGCACAACATCCTCGCCATCAGCGCGTCGGGCCCCTTCTTGCCCTTCCGCCGCGTGGAGAGCGTGTACCTGCGCAGCGGGGCCGAAGAACGACGCGCCGCGCGCCCACCTCTGGAGCGAGACCGCCCTGGCGCCGAGCGCCCCGCGCGGGCACCTCCCCACAGCCAAGGGGGGCCGACGTGCGCTCCGCGTCCAGACCCCTGGGGAGAAGGAGGCCCTGCCCTCCCCTGTTGTTTGAGGCCTGGAAATGGGCACCAACACCAACACAGGGGTTTGCCTCCATAGGGGGAAGATGATCCTAGATTTCGGTGTTGGTGGTAATATTTCGGTCACCTCGGAAGCCAGAATATTACCACTATCGCCGAGATCGGGATCGTCTTCCCTCGGTGGAGGCACACTGC